CAGCTGGTAGTTTCGAACTGCTGACCTTGAGGTTTGTAGCCCGATTCGTAACCACTACACTACCAGAGCTCCTTCCTTGTAGACGTATGGATATTAGCCTATCTCAGACAGCAATGTACTCCAAGACAGATCTTGAAATATTCTTTTTGATGATGAATGTGATGCCAATCATCTTCAATTTGTCATTCCTGGCATAGTAAATCATGTGATTGTCAGATTCAAAATGGCTAATACCAGTCCTGGTGTGGTACCTTAGGATAATACTTGACCTCAAGGTCGGTTTGAACTGCAAGGTCAGTGGTTCAAACTCACTAGCTCATCCTCAGACACCCTATACTGTGTGGGAATGGAATCGATAGCACACAACGACAACAACAACACTAGGCTATTTCAGCTCATTAATTCTTAGGATATCAACGTTTATGCATTCCATTGCATTTTTTACAATTTCTCATTTTCTTAGATTCATACTTCATACATTCCATGTTCTGATTATTATGTTCACAACTATTTTCTTTAAATTAGAGTTGTTCTCCATCAGCAAATGAAGGTCCTGAAGCCTTTTATTCACTCGCATCATCATGGTCAACGCTACTTTGAGGAGGCAGCTCTTCCCCAGTTGTATTTTAAGTAACTTCCAACCTGAGTGGCTCATTTTTCAGCATTATGTCTGACAATATTCTGGGGGTCTTCATCATGTTTCAATAGTCAATATTCTGGTATTTTCTGACAGTGTTCCATTGCTATTCATAAGGTCAAGATAATGCTGTGGGTGGGGCAACTTGGTGTCCATATTGGTAGTTTGGAGGGTGGAGGTGCCTAGCTTCTGACTCAAAAGAATCAGCCTTGGCCTGATGCTGTTGGTGAGATGCCTTCTACTTTGTGAAGTTAGAGGAGGGCAGACACCGTCCCCATGTTGGTTTTTACAGTGACACTTTACAACAATTGTTTGGCCGAAATGAGATGACAGTTGACCAGAGACCTGAAGAAGGGAGGGAGCCAGCCACAGGCAGAGCTGGAAGAGCTAGTGCAAAGTCCAGAGGCACCTAGAGTAGCAAGGAGGAAGGGGTGTCTTTGGGGAGACATATGGGGTGGAGCCTAGACCTCCAGGAAGAGTCAGGATTTTACTTTGAGTTGGGCAGGGCATGGGAGGGCTTGGAACATGGGAGCCTCTCCTTTCTCCCACCCCAGCTCTGTCTTATAGAGGTCACCTCTCCTCCACTCAACCATTCCCAATTCCAGAGCTTCAGGTCTTGTTTTATTTTTATTTTAAAATAAAATGTCTTCAGTGTAGAAAACAAACAAACAAAAACTCAAGCCCATTCCTGTCCAGTGGAATCTGACACATGGCGACCTCATGTACTATAGAGAATAGACGTGCACTCCACAGATTTCTAGGCCTTTCTTCTGTAGCACCCCTGGGTGGTTAGAAGCTGGTGCAAATTCTGGGGGACTGACCCCTCCAATCAAATCACAGGGTATTTCCGAGCACCATCCAGTTTGAAGTCAGAAGTAGCAAGGTACCTATGTTTGGGGGGTTCAGGAAGCAGAGTGACCTCAAGGTTGGCTGCCCATGCTCCCTTCCATGAGGCCACAGGATGGTACCTGGGCCATCAGTATCTGGAACCCCATCCAGGGGTTAGGACTCCATGGTTGGTTTTAGGGGGGTTGGGAGGAGGGAAGAGAGAGAATGGGGGTGGGTCTATTTGTATTTTCTTTTGTTTTTCTCAGTGTGGTTAAGATACTATAATAATCCATGTGGGGGTTATTTTTGTTATGTGTTCTCAAGTGGGCTCTGACTCCTAGTGACCCTATATGTACAATACAACGAAACACTGCCCAGTCCAGTGCCACCCTCACAATCTGCTGGTTGAGCCCATTGCTAGTCACTGTGCCAATCCATCTTGTTGGGGGTCTTCCTCTTTTTCAGGGAGACCCTCTACTTTACCAAGCATGTCCTTCTGCAGGGACTGGTCCCTTCTGATAAAATGTCCAAAGTATTTGCGAGAAGTCTCCACATTCTCAAATGGGAAAGAGGGCCTAAAATGCTACCCTGGGGAAAAAAAATAATTTTCTAAATTAAAGGGCGGGAAGGACGTCCGCGCACTTCCGGGGGGGGGGGGGCCGAGCGGGGAGCTGGGCCTTGAAGAGTTTAGTTATTCTGGTCTCTCAGGCGCCTCTGCAGCTGCTGAGCTTTTTATAAACAGGACGAGCACCCCCCACACACACCACGCCCCAAACCAGACCAACCTAAGGAGGAGGGTTGGGTGCTGGGAAATCAGGACATTACTGAAGCCATTCCTCCCTGTGGGATAGGGCATCCGAGTCTGGGGACTGGAGACTCAGAATGAGGGTCTGGGTCTCAGGTTCCCGACCCCTCCAATTCTGACTTTTGGTCAAGATTTTGGATAATGATGCATTTTAGCCTCACTGATGGTTCATCTTAGCCACTGAAGTCTCATTTCTTGGCCTTTGGTTTCCTCTGGATGAAGGGGGAAGGATTCTCTCCCGTCCTGTTTTTGTAAAAATTCGGGAAGCGAGAAACCTAAGAGTGGTTTAGCATCTCACAGGCCACCCCCTCCTTTTAATCCAAGGAATGAACGGCTGGCGGCCTCACTCACCCCCTCCCGTTTTCCTGGTCTTGCTTTGGGGTCCTGTGAGGGACAGGCCATTTATCTGCCCGTTTCCACCTGGGAATTTTTTTCTCAATAATGGGGAGCAGGGAGGGAAGGGATTCCCAGAGAACCCAAAGCCCCCCTTTTTATAGAAATTGTAGAAAGGGATAGTTCTTTTGACCTCGATTTAAAAAAATCTTTTCGGCCTCCGAAACGCCCCTCCCATTTGGGATCTTAAACTCAGGAACTGAACGGGGGGGTCGTCTCCCTTGACCTCTATTTCCCATATTTCTTCTGTTTGGACCTCTTAAATGGGGGGTGAGGCACAGAACACCTGAAATTTGGAATAAGGAGCGTTTAACGAGAAACCGAAGCGCTCCGATAGGGGCGAGGGTCCCGGAAATCCACACCCCTGGGTGGGCGCGGATCGAGAGGGGGCCGCCGGGTGAATCTCCGAAATCCGCCAAGGCCTCAGACGCTCAGCCCTTCAACCGTCTGGGAGCCACCATTGGGCAGTAGGAGGGAGGCGGCGATCTCTTATTGTCCATTCAATCCGTCGCTCAATTGCGTAAGCCTGTGTGAGAGCGCCACTCAGCCCCGCCTCCCTGGTATTGACAAGAGGCAGAACCCACAGGAGCTTCGCCGGTGGTGCCGCCTCTTTATTCCAGCCCCCACCGTCTATTGGATGCGAACGCTATATCCCGCCTCATCCACGCGTCAATCTGCGTGGGAGCTCCACCTCCTCTGTCTCTGCGTGCGTCAGCGGGCCATATCTCCATGCGCGGCCCCACCCCTGGATGGCGTCATGACTGTATCTGCATGCGAGGCCCCGCCCCACTCATTGCAGGACGTCACCAGGACTGCAGGGGCCTGAGCCGCTGCCTCTGCCACCGCCGCCGCCGCTGCCGCTGCTACCGCGCAGCCCCACATCTACACACCGGGGACCCCGTCGCCGCCGCAGCCAAAAGAGTCGCCGCAGCTAGGGTTGTCACTGCATCGGTGCAGAGCAAGGTGAGGTCCCAGGCGACGTGGTGCGCTCCCGCTCGGCACACCTGCGTAACCTTCATTTGACTGATGCGCTGGCGGGATTGGGGGATGAGCTTGGCGAAGCTTGAATGAGGAACCCATGCGACGGCTGGGAACCTAGCGAGGGATCAGGCCGGGAGCTTCCACATACTGATCCTCACCCCCCCCCCCCACCCTCCCCCCCCCCCCCGCCCCCAGCTCTGCGGTGGAGGGGGAAGGGAGGCGCGTGCCGCGCTAGAGGTGTGCGCGCAGGAGACTATGCGTGCGCGTGCGCGTGGTGTGCACACGCGTGTGCGCCCCGCCTGTGATGGCAGGATGTTTGTCCCCTTGCTTGTGTACCATGTCCCTGTGGGCTCTGGTCTCAAGTGCGTGCGTGTAGCACACGTGTGGAGGGAGATGCATGCACTGTGCAAGACCATGTCACACCGGACTGCGTGTCAGTGGGTGTCGTGCACACTCTAGCCTGGGTGCAGGGCGCGGTCTGCCTGGATGGATTTGGTGCCTGTAGCTGTTCTCTATGCACCGGAGTATTTGCACATTTGCATGTGCACATCTATACATGTGTGCATGTGATGCCCTGCCCCTATCACGTGACACAGCTGCTTCAGCTCTTGAACTCCCTATCCGGGTGGTTGGTGGAAGGGGCTGTGGATGCGTCCATGCCATGTCACTACACAGGTGTGCACGTGCACGGACACAGCTCTGCTCTGAGGACCATGAAAGATTGATAAGGGGCGGGGCCAGCCGCAGTCACCCCTCTGGTTGCAGCTGTAGGGTTTAGGGTTACAGTGGGATTTGAGAAGCAAGCTTGTAGGGGGCTACAGCGTGCCCCATCCGTATCTCTGAGTTCCTCCCCTGGAACCTTCCATCTTTCAAGGTCATGGGCCATGGACACCATCCTTGGTCTCCCCACACCTGTCCCTCTCTGGTTCTCTCCTTCCTGGGCTCAACTTTGGGGATTTGAGGGGTCCCCCTCCTCATGCTCGCCTCCGCTCCACATGCCCAGATGGCGTCTGCCACAGACTCGCGTTATGGACAGAAGGAGTCCTCCGACCAGAACTTCGACTACATGTTCAAGATCCTCATCATTGGCAACAGTAGCGTGGGCAAGACGTCCTTCCTGTTCCGCTATGCAGACGACTCCTTCACGCCTGCTTTTGTCAGTACCGTGGGCATTGACTTCAAGGTCAAGACCATCTACCGCAACGACAAGAGGATCAAGCTGCAGATCTGGGTGAGTCTGAGAACTCAGGTGCTCTATTCCTGTCTACTCCCTGGAAACACAGTACAGCATTGCCTGTCTTTCTTAGCTGAATGGATTCATTCACACACTGGTCATGTGTCAGGTGCCAACTGTACACTAAGGGCAGAAGATACAGAGGAGAGCACCCCTCCCTTGAGCACTCCCTGAAACTGGTGGCAGGTGACTCTCCCAGGGTGACTTGGCCTCCTCCCCACATGAAAGCCCTCAGAGTTTGTTAAATTCCAAGTCAAAATCAGCCCTTCTGTGTGCTGGTGACTCGGAAGACCTCATTCATGGCAAAACCCACAACTCTGCTCTTATGATTGGATGCTAACCTAAAGGCTGTCAGTACGAACCACCCAATGGCATTGTGGGAGACCTGGAGGTCTATCTGCTTCTGTCATGATTACAGTCAAGAAAACCCTACGGAGCAGATCTCCTTTGTAGCACATGGGAGTCACCATAGATTGGAATTGACTTGATGGCAGCAGATCCTCTGGTCCCTCACCATTGTCACACTCTCCACCTTCCTCAAATGCAAAGGCACAACCCTACCTCAGGGCCTTTACACAGCCTCTGCCCTCTGTCCAGGGTCGGCTTTCCCCTGGCTCCCCCTTCAGGTTTTGAATCTGTGCTCCCACAGGCTCTCCTACCCTTATCTGGCTTTAGTTTTCACTTCAGCTCTTGTCACCCTTCAACACAAGATCTAGTTTCTTCTTTTAAAGGTTTACTCTGTTCCCCACACTAGGCTGTCAGCTCCACCTGGGTTGGGGGTTTTCTGATTTATTATGTTCTTAGCCTCCAGCACAGGGTGTGACACACAGTTGAATGGAGGAGGAATGGCTGTTGAATGGGTTCTGCAGGTCACATGACTCTATACTAGCGGTCTGCTCTTACTGACCCCTTGTGCTCCTAGCCAAACCCCTACCTCCTCAGTGCCTTAAGGGGTCTGGATTGGATGATCTCAAGAGCTCATTTTTGTTCTAAGGGTTTTATGTGTGGTTCCTCTCTGACCCAGGACACGGCAGGGCAGGAACGGTACCGGACCATCACGACGGCCTACTACCGGGGTGCCATGGGCTTTATTCTTATGTATGACATCACCAACGAGGAGTCCTTCAATGCTGTGCAGGACTGGTAAGCTGGCACTGCCCTCTCTCAAGACTGTCCTCAACCAGGCGTTGGGACACAGGCATAAATAACATGATTGGGTTTTTAATTTTTAAAAATTTTTTATTGTGAATTAAGTGAAAGTTTACAGAGCAAATCATCAGTTTTATATTTAGCAAATCATATACTTTGCTTCATCAAGTGCTGTGGAATCAGTTACGACTCAGCGACCCTGTATAGGGTTTCAAAGGAGTGGCTGGTGGGATTGAACCACCAACCTTACAGTTTAAACTGACTTTGTGGTCCAGCGCTTATCCTAAGGCGCCACACACATGGAATGCAATCCCCTCCATGTACCAACAGTTAGTGTTTACCTCTAATTGCATTCCTCCCTGTGTCTCCCTTTACCTTCATCTTTCCTCTGTTGTGTTAGATACTGCCTATCCTGCCACCCATTGTTTATTTATGGACTAGAGGGTAGCCAACATGTTAACAATATTGGGTTTTAAAACTTGCTGCCAACATATAATCATTAAAAAAGTATGACATTAATTCAAAATAATAGGAAAAAGATTTCAGATGACAAAACTGTACACAAACCGACAAAATAATCTAGGAGGGGAGCAGAAAATAGGACAATTTGCATAGCTAGGCAGCCGTTATAACAGGGGAGCTTGGTGGCTCCATAAGATAAGCACTGGACCATAAGGTCTATGGTTGGAGCCCACCAGCCACTCCACGGGAGAAATATGAAGCTTTTTGCTCCCATGAAGATTTAAAAGCCTTGGAATCCGTGTGCAGGGTGACCATGAGTTAAAACAAACTACGGCACTTAACAGATGTTGTAAACCTTTACATTTTCTGCCCAGAAAGAGTAATTAAAAAAAAAAAAAAAATCCTGTATTTGCTGAGGCAGATGTTTCTCTTTGTAGGGGGGTGGTGAAACTAGGAAGGTTGGGGTTGGAAAAGGTTTCTAAGAGCAGGGGACCACTGGAGTGGGTGAGGAGAGGCCTCACTCTTGGGGTCACAGGAGGGACTCCTGGGGGATGAGGCAGTGTTTATGGATGAGAGAGTTCATTCTTGGCAGAGGAGATAGCCAGAATACAGACCATGAGATGAGGCCAAACCTGGTGTATTTGAATAGTGGGGTAGCTCTGGTAGCATAGTGGTTATGAATCAGGCTGTGAACCGCAAGGTCAGCAGTTTGAAACTAGCAGCTGCTCCGTGGGAGAAAGAGGAGGCTTTCTGCTCCCATAAAAATTTACAGCCTCGGAAACCCTGAGTCGGAACCGACTCCACGGCACATAACAGCAACAAGGTCCCTGGAAAGAGCCCTGGTGGCAAAATGGTTAAGCACTCAGCTGCTAACCAAAGGGTCAGCAGTTCAAACTCGCCATAAAGATCACAACTTTGGCAAGCCTATAGTGCAGTTCCACGCTCTTCTATAGGGTAGCTAAGAGTTGAAGTCAACTTGGCAGCAAAGGGTTTGAGGTCCCTGGGTGGTGGAAGCAGTTTTCAAATGCTGTTCACCTGAAAGATGGTGGTTTGAACCCACTGAGTGACCCCATGGAAGGCAGACGTGGCAATCTGTTTCTCCAGAAAGATTACAGCCAATAAAACCGTCTGCAACAGTCCTATTCTGTCACACAAGGGTTGTTAGGAGATGGGACTCCATGGCAGTGGGGTTTTTTTGATGGTTTGAATGGGGTCTGGAACCAGCAGATAGAGGCTAAGAGAGTGGGGGGGGAGGCAGCAAGACCAAACAGCCGAAGCTCAAGGGTCTTTTCGGTAAGTCAAGGGGACAGCCCTGGGCTGATTTGTAGAGGCAGGATTCAGATGCTCCTAGGCCCTAACCTGCCGCTCTTATCACTATTCCCTCCAGGTCCACCCAGATCAAGACCTATTCATGGGACAATGCACAGGTGCTGTTGGTGGGGAACAAGTGTGACATGGAGGATGAGCGAGTGGTGTCATCAGAGCGTGGCCGACAGCTGGCCGACCACCTAGGTGAGTGCCTGGCAGGGCTGGAGATACCTGAGATCACACAGCAAAGCAATGAAATCTTATTTTCACAGCCTAGCCGCCATTTGAGATGTTACTGGGCCTCTGAGAGCCTCCAGCTTTATGAGAGGCAAACTGGGATTGAGGTGGGGATCCAGGCTGTTGGAACTCTTGGGAGATGCTAGGCTCTTCCCAGGTGTAAGGTTTGTTGGAGGTGGGTACTGAATCTGATGCTTAAAGGAAGGGCTTTTCAGGCAGAGAAATCAGCTTGGACAAAGACCCATAGATAAGAGAGATCCTGTGTGCTTTGCCCAAAAGTTTGACAGAACTTTCTGGAACATGAGGATCAACTGGAGGAAATAGAGATCAGGCTAGCCAGGCATGCAGGGCTGCAATCACAGGGCTTTCCCGAGGGCGCTAGGTAGCCGTGGAGGGTATGTGAACAGGGAAAAGTGCTACTGGATTGGAGTGTCCAAGGGCCACCATGGCCAGCAGAAGAAAGGTGCAGGATAAACTCAGGATGGATCCAGCCTAAGATTGCTTACATATAGGGCTTGTGACCGCCTTTAGTGTTCTAGGTCCTGGAGCTGTCTAGGACCCTCCTTCCTCTTCCCACAACCCCATTTTCTGAGAGGAGGATAGGGGACCTTGGGTGCTTATTCCTACCCCAGGGTCCTTATACCTTCCTCCCTCAACCTTGCCACAGGGTTTGAGTTCTTTGAGGCGAGCGCCAAGGACAACATCAACGTCAAGCAAACCTTTGAGCGCCTAGTTGATGTCATCTGTGAGAAGATGTCCGAGTCACTGGACACAGCTGACCCTGCAGTCACGGGTGCCAAGCAGGGCCCACAGCTTACGGACCAGCAGGCCCCCCCACACCAGGACTGTGCCTGCTGAGAGCTCCCCCATCCTTCCCTGCCCCCCCCCCCAGCTACTCCCATGGGCCTGAGACCCTTTCCCTGTCCCTCTTATTTATTATCCTAGCTATTTATTTATTTATTGGAGATGTCCCTGGGGCTCAGGCTCCCCTGGCCTCTACTATGGCCTCACCCACCCTGCCCAGTGGGCCCACCCTGTACATACACCCTAACTTACCTGTCCCTTCCCTGCTCTGCCGTGTTGTGGCCCCCATGAACCCCTTCCCCACTCTAGACCCCATTTTTTTTTCTAACTCACCTCCGTCCACAGTTGTCAGTTGTGACGCAGGGGCTGATGACCCCTCAGGGCAGGCTGATTGGTGGTAGGGGTGGCACAACCTGGCCAGTGCCTGCCTCAGACATGGGAGAGACCACAAGGGTCTCAGTAGGGCCTTGGGGGGGTCAAAGCCCAGCAACCCACTTCCACCTCCTCTCCCGAGAGGGCTGCTGTTGGTGTTTGCCACCCTGGGACCTTCCCCGACCAGACCTGTTCTGCCATCATGAGTGTCAAAAATGCCCCCAAACCCATCAACAAATGTCACGAGAACCATCACACAAAACCCAATAAAGCGGAATGGACCAGGCAGTGTCCCGGTGTGAGCCTGCCGACCCCGCTGGCTGGGATGGGCCACGAGAGTTCCAATTTGAAAAAATTTAATGACATTTCCAGTCACTGATCAAAGACGAGAACTGCAGGTACTCGAGTCTGGCTCTAGGCCAGTCCCTACTCCACGGGGACAGAGGATGACCCTGCCTTGGTCCCAGGCCTCAGAAAAACCAGAGGTTGGCTGTGGGCCGAGAGCCATCCCACTGCAGTATAGAGAAGTTGGCATTCAGGACTGGGGCATCTCAGTGCTGGGACATCAATGTCCAGTGCTGGGGTTTTGTTCCAGGAGAAGCAGGCCTGGCCGTGGTCTGGGAGTGAGACCATCAGGGGCTGGTTCCCTTTAGACCAGGGCAGTATTCAGCTGGGGGTCGGCGTTGTCCTGATGCTCCAGCCCACTCCCAGAAGCACGCAGTCTTGGGGTGACAGCTGGATCCGTCCACAGAGGCTCGGTCATCACACCACGTGCCTGGCTCATCTCTCTGGACCTTCTCACCGAGCGTCGTCCATCTGTCCTCTGCCTGGGGTCAGCCCCCCTCCACAGACACGGCAGGCACCTGGCCAAGGTCACATCAACATCAGACACAGGCCAGAGGCGGCTGGGCAAGGACTGGGGGGTGGAGGGAATGGGGAAGAGTCTGAGTCCCTCATATGCTCACCCGGTACTTCAGATAGGAGAGGTATGTGTCCCAGCCAAGGGTCACACCGTTAATGTAGGTGACCCGGAACTGAGAGGGTACGAAGAGAAAGTTCACCAGCTGTGCAGGGGGCCAAACACACCAGTCAGCCTGTGGAGAGGGGCCGGTGGTGAGAGACTGAACAGTACGTGGGTGGAGTCAGGTAGGGCTGTCAGAGGTGGGCGGAGCCAAGATGGTTGAAAGGGAGGGCATGAAGTGGGTGGGGCCTGGTGAGTTAGACTCACCTTGTAGAATTCCCAGAACTTGTCCTGAAGCTCCTGGATGCTCTCATCCAGCGTCTGGCCCTCCAGCCAGCCAAGGCCTAGGAAGGAAACCAGGAAGTGTCACATGCAGGAGGTTGTTAAGTGCTGTCGAGTCGGTTCTGACTCATGGACCCTGGATAGGGTTTCCAAAGGAGCTCTGGTAGCACAGTGGTTATGAATCAGGCTGTGAACTACAAGGTCAGCAGTTTGCAACTCCCATCTGTTCTGCAGGAGAAAGATGAGGCATGCTGCTCCCGTAAAGATTTACAGCCTCGGAAACCCTGTACAGGGTCGCTATGAGTCGGAACCGACTCCATGGCACATAACAACAACATAGAGTTTCTAAGGAGCAGCTGGTAGGTTTGAACTGCCAACTTTGTGGTTCACAGTCCAGTGCTGATCCTACAGCGCTGAACCAGGAGAGACGACGCCCCAAGAAGTGTCATACACAGGGGGAGCAGGGCATTAGCAGGCCCTCTGGTCAGGCCAGCTGCTGAACTGGAGTCGAGGGGCATGGGGGTAGACCAGAGACTTCCCAGCCCCCTCTCTAATTCCTGGCACCTCCCACCCATCCATGGAGTGGTGGTGTTTAGACTACACTCCCACCCCCACTGCGAGCAGCCCCCAGTCCAGGGCTACACAGGAGGGTCACCCGCACTGTACCCTGGCATTCACAGCACACAGCCCGCTCGGCTCCGCCCACCAATATGTACTGCAGTCCTGGCCCCTGTACCTCTGAAGGGGACCCTGTTTAAAAATGGTTTCTTCTGTTATGATATTTAGGTGGGCGTCCTAGTGTGGCACTGTAGGAAAAACATGGGACTGTTAACTGCAAGGTCGGCAGTTCAAACCCGCTAACTGCTCCTCAGAAACCCTATACAAGCTCACTATGAGTCGGAACCAACTTGACAGTAACTAACACCAACAGTGTAGAGTGGGTCCTAAGCTTAATTCCTTCTGAGTTTCCAGGAGAAAAGAGAAGCAGCACAGAGGGGAATTACCTTATCTACAAGGCCAGGAACACCCAGGATCTCCTGCAGCTACTAGAAGCTGAGTAACATAAATGGTTAAGGGTTGGACTACCAGCAGAAAGGCCTGGCGATCTGCTTCTCAAAGTCCCAGCCTTGAAAACCCTATGGAGCAGGTCTACTCTACACACACGTGGGGTCACCATGTGTCAGACTGGACTGGATGGTAACTAACAAGAAACAGATAAGGAAGGCCCTTCCCAGGAACCACATACTGACTTCTAGCCTCCTAAACAGAGAGAAAATAAATCTGTCCTTCAACGTCCCCTACTTGGGGTATTTATGTTGTGGCTTTGTTGTTGTTGTTAAGTGCCCTCAGATGTTTCCACTCATAGAGACCCTGTATAGTGTTTTCCAGGAGCAGCTGGTAGGTTTGAACCAGTGACCTTATGATTTGCAATCTAGTGTTGATCCTACAGCACCACACCCTAGATAACTCAGCCCTAGATAATTCAGATACAGATATCCTTACCAAAGAAGTACCAAACACCTAGCATGGGCGAGGCCACCAGCTGGTCCACCAGGACCTTCCTGAGGACGGTTGGAAGACTGCGGAGACCGGAGGCGGGGTACAGGCGGTCCAGCCAGAGGTACCAGTAGTGCAGGAAGGGGCCCATGCTGCAGCCCATGGCAAACATGCTTGCTGAGGGAGGAAGAGGGCAAGAGTCAGGGTATGGGGGCCAGCAGACACTTTCTGGCGCTTCAGTTCCTGGGTCCCCAAAACACCGAGAGCCAAGCCAGGTCTTCTTCCTGAACTAGCCAGGCCCCCAGCTCTTGTTCTGGGCGCTCCTTTTCTTTTAGCGTCATCCCCATCCCAACCCATGCCAGAGATTTCTACCACTGTCCCGCTTTTCAGGACGGAAAATGAGACATTGCAGGTATCAAAGTTTAGGGCTAGGGCGGGACACTAAGTTGGCCACATGCAAATCCTCATAGGTTGGGTGGGAGAGGGCGGGGTCGGAGCACCTGTAGGACTCAGTACTTTGGAAACGGAGAACCCGTGTGGGCGGAGTAGGAGATAAGGGAATGGGAGACCTGGGAGTGGGAGGAAATGGAGATCCAGGAAGTGGGCGAGATAATGGAGACACTGGGAAGGGATGTAGACCTCGGCGAGGGGAGGGGACTCCGCGGTTGGGAAAGAACTAGGCAATGGATGAAGAGGAGATTCTGGGAGTGCGAGGGGATGGAGACCCATGGGTAGGCAGAGACAGAAACTGAGTGGCTGTCAGGGTCCAGGATGCACATCGAGGTCAAAGGTCCAGCCTGAGACTGAGATCAAAGATCAGAGGTCGTAGCCCGCGGATATAGTGGAGGGTATTCTTCGACTCTAAATTTAGGGTCAAAAGTCCCACGGTGTTAAGGGTCAGTAGGCCGGCCTGCTTACCCGAGCGCCGCGGGTTGAACCTCTGGCCAGGCCTGGAACGAATCTCCCAGGTCTGACGAGCGCCGTCCCCGGCTGCCATGAGCGCGCCGCAGCCTACAGTGTTGGTGACCAGCAGCGCCCGGCCCTGGAACAGAGGTTTCCCAAAGGTCCACAAGCCGCGGACCCAGCGCCAGCCACCTGACGCCATCGCTGTAGCAGATCCAAGAACCCGCACACCCGGCCCGCTACCTGCCGCGCGGGCCAATAGTAAGCCGCAGCCTCACCAGAATACCCGCCCCAAGTCAAGCCGCCAATCGCAAACTGTCTTCAGCTTCCTCGTGCCCCGCCTCAAGCATCATTGACCAACCGATAGCCGCCTCCTCGCTCTACTTTCCCCGCCCCAGCTGTATTGGCCAATAAAAGACCATCATCCTATCCCTAGACCAATTGTACCCTGCCTTCCCGTGTTGCCTAGACCAATCGCAAAGAAGCATCGCGCGTGTGTAGCACGCCAATTGCTGGCTTTCACGCTCGTTTCCCCGCCTCTTCCGGCGCCATCCTACGGAAATCATAACCGTAGTTTCCAGGACTACATTGGCTAATCGCAGCAAATATTTATTATCCAATCTCCTGCGTTGCGATGGCTAATCTTAGACAGTTACTGTGCTCTCCTATCCAATCGCTCTTCAGATTCTCCCGGAATCTAAAGGAGTTCAACCTGAAGCCATGACAGCTACTCGGGCGGAAGTCCGATTGAGCAAAGACTCACGGGAGTGGGAGGGACTGGAAAGTACCATTCTGATGCGAGCTCAGCCCAAATGGGTCATGCTCCAGACGTTGACATTAGCTTAGCTTTTTTTAAAAAAGTTTTTATTATTAATCGAGTGATAGTTTACATGGGAGAACATCGGTTTTACACTCATCGTTTCATTGCAATGATTACAATCTCCTCCATGCATCATCATTCGACAGTATTTGCTTAGCTTGGCTTTTGACTTTAATTCCAGAATAATTATAATATTACGCATTTTTGCGTGCTTCAGCTAATTTTACAGCAACTTTATAATGCTGCAGTAACTATTTTATCTTCATCTCCTATACTACTTAAGGGAAAAATGTTTCAGTAGAAAACAATGGAAGGAGTTGCAACCTACAGCCTCCGGGTGAAATCAGGATTTTGTAAGGTTCAAGAGTTAAGAAATTTTTTTATATTTTTAAATGATGAAAAAATAGTGTTTTTTGACAATTGAACACTATGGAAACTTCAAATTTAGGTATTGATAAAGTAAAATGATTGGAACACAACCATTCCCTTATACCTATTTTTACACTGAAGAGATTAGTTGCTACAGAGTCAGTATGGCTTACTGGAGCTAAACTATTTACTATCTTGTCCTAGGCGCAGTGGGTTAAGTGTTGGACTGCTAGCAGCAAAGTTGTTGTTAGATGCCATCTAGTCAGTTCCTACTCATGGCAACCCTATGCACAACAGAATGTAACATTACCCAGTCCTGACCTAGTCTCACAATTGTTATGTTTGAACCCATTGCTACTGCCACTGTATCAATCCGTCTTCTTGGAGTTCTTCTTTTTCACTGACCCTCCATTTTACCAAGCATGGTGTCCTTCTCCAGGGACTGGTCCCTCCTCATATCATGTCCAAAGTATAAGAGACAAAGTCTCACTATCCTGGTTTCTAAGGAGCATTCTGGTTGTACTTCCAACACAGATTTTTTTTGGGGGGTTCTTCTGGCAGTCCATGGTATTTTTAATACTCTTTTCCACCATCATTCAAATTCACCTATTCGATAGTCTTCCTCATTCACAGTCCAACTTTCACAATGATGTGAGGCTATGAAAGTACCATGGGTTGGGTCAGGCACACACCTTAGGTTCTCAAACTGGTATCTTTGCTCTTTAATTTTAAAGAGGTCGTGTACAGCAGATTTGCTTGATGCAATGCTTCATTTGATTTCTTGACTGCTGCTTCCATGAGTGTTGATTTTGGATCCAAGTAAATTGAAGTCTCTGACAACTTCAGACTTTTCTTGATTTATCATGATGTCATTTACTGGTCCAGTGGTAAGGATTTCTGTTTTCTATACATTGAGGAGCAATTTATACTGATCTTCATCGGTAAGTATTTTAAATCATCTTCACTTCCAGCAAGCAAGGTTGTATCATCTGCATATTGCAGTTTATTAATGAATAGCAGGTAGATTCAAACTGCTGACCTTGTGTTTAATAGCCCAACAAGTAACTGATAGGCATGAATAATTTTTGTACTGTTAGCAGTTAATAGAAAGCTGGGCAGTTGAAACCCACCAGGCTCTCAGCAGGAGAAGGATGTTGCAGTCTTCTTCCATAAACATCATATAGTCTCAGGAATCCTATGGGGGTAGTTTTGCTCTCTTATGGAGCTGCTATGAGTTGGAATCTACTGGATAAAGGGTCCTTATATTAGAGGGCCTTTTCAGGGTTACCTGATTCTAAGAGTAATATTTTACAAACATAAGTTATAAATAACTGCTAACAGTAAAAATAATTCTTGCCTATGAGTTATGCATTGTGCTACTAACCACAAGGTGAGCAGTTAGAATCCACCTGCTGTTCCCAGGGAGAAAGAGGAGACTTGCTGCTCCCATCAAGATTAACAGCTTCATAAACCCTATTGAGTCACGATAAGTCAGAATCTACTCAGTGGTTTGGGTTTGGGCTCATAGACATTCCAACCAAGTTGGCCCCGTGGAAGTGGAAGGACATTCCATACCCCTCCAGTTTTGGGTTTTTTGGGCCTTGATTTGCATGTTCATTTCAAGATCTCTCATCTGTCTGTTCTTTGGGGTGAAAATATAATGCCAGAAGGGTTCTGCAGATGTAATTATAGTTCCTAATCAGGTCACTTGAGTTCATTGAAGGGTAGATTCATGAGTGTTTCTGTGACTCTTAGTGGTACCTCCTCTATCATAAGCAGCCACAGTACTCTTTTCGGTCATCACGTCCATTGTTAGTGAAAACCTTGCCTTGGCCAGGCTCCCACATTGTATTTACTCATTCCAACTCTGAAGTTTCCTCTGGTCTCTGAGTTTCTCAGGTTATCATGGCTTTTCAGATTTTGACATTTTCCAACAGGTTTGGACTTGGTATTTTGTAGAAAGTCCCTCCATTTGGGTTTGTCTGTTTTTTTTTTCTTGTGATCAGACTGGGGTTTTATGGGGCTTGGAGAAGAATCTTGACAAGCATAAGAACCCTCATTGCATCATATCCGGAGTCACCTGGCACCCACATGACTTAGAGTGACATCGACCTTAGTCACCTGGTTAAGATGGTATCTGCCAGATGTCTCCATAGTCATCATTGTTTTCTTCTTTCCTCACTTCAGTTTTTGGAGCCCAATGACTAAGTTCACTTTACACTCAAGGTGGTGGTGGGCTGAATTAAACTCTATCCCTTGAGGGGAAGGTGTGTACATATGTGATTTGATTAGTCACTTTTAAGAACCTCATATTAACTTCTACTCCTGGTGTTGCACTGTAGGATCAGTACTGGACTGCGAACCACAAGGTTGGTAGTTCAAACCCACCAGTTGCTCCAAAGAAACCCTATACAGGGTCATTATAAGTGGGGACCGACTTGACTGCACTTAACAACAATATTGACTTACCGTCTGTCAGTCTGTCATACAGTGGCACCAACGGTATTTCACTTACCAGCAGGGTCACCCATGGTGGACATGTTTCAGCAGAACTTCCAGACTAAGACAGATTAGGAAGAAAGGCCTGGAAATCTGCTTTGAAAATTAGCTGATGAAAATTCTGTGGATTACAAGAGAACCTTTTCTGAGAAAATGAGCCCCCTTGGTTTGGAGGCACTCAAAATACACAGCAGCTGAAATAATGGACTCAGGTATATCAACCATCACGAAGATGGGCCAGGACCTGGCAACGCTTCATTCTGTCATGCCGGGATAGCCACGAGTGGGAGCCCACTCAACAGCAACAATATTGACTTTTGGGAGACAATGCTTACATCTTGGCAGGAAAACTGACCTAGTACCTAGCTTGCAGGATCAGTTGCAAGAATAAATAAGGTCACTTTACTTCCTGTCAGGCCAAGAGCCTGTTGGAGAAGGGCAGAAGAGAAGAATTTGTCCAAATCTGAATGTCAACCAAAAAACCAAAGCTGAGGTTGGTAGAAGAATGATGAAGACAGAGGAAGACAAAGGGAGGTGTGCAAGAGTGAAAGGGAACAGCCGTAATAAAAAGCAAAAATTGAGTTGGTTCCGGGTCATAATGATCCTGTATAGGGTTTCCAAGGAGCACCTGGTGCGTTTGAATTGCTGACCTTGTGGTTCGCAGTCCAGGATGAATATATATATATATGTAGTTGTTCTTAAGTGCTGTTGAGTCATTTCCAACTCATAGCCACCTTGTATAGAGTTTCCAAGGAGCGGCTGGTGAGCTTGAACCATAGTCCTTGTGGTTCAAACCAACCTTGTACTTGCAGTCCAGCACATTAACCCACAGTGCCACATCAGGACTCTATATATGTATGTATATGTGTGTGTGTATATATATATATGTGTGTGTGTGTGTGTGTGTGTATGTGTTGTTAAGTACCGTGGAATCAGTTCTGACTCATAGTGACCCTGCACAGGGTTTCCAAGGCTGTAAATATATATACATAAAACAGTGATCATTGGGTAGATACATGGATAGAATAGATACACAAATGAACAGGTGTGGGAGGGAATGTGGGAGCATCCCCACAAATATAGAAAGGTTTGACAAAGGATATTTGTACATATCTATGAGTGTGGTGGTTCAAGCTCACCAGTTGCTCCTTGGAAACCCTATACAGGGTCGCTATGGGTTGGAATCGACTCGACGGCACTTCACAACAACGAGTGTGATGGAAAGTTGTTCTTAAGTGCTGTTGAGTTGGTTCTGGCTCATAGCAACCCTGTATCGGGTTTCTGAGGAGTGGCTGATGGTCTTGAACCACTAACCTTATTGTTAATAGTCCAATGCTTATCATACAGCACCACACCAGGAGCATTATTGTTAAGTGCCTTCCAGCTGATTCCAACTCAGGTGAATTTGAACTGCCGACCTTGCAGTTTACACTGAGCTTAAAGTTCAGAGCATTATCCCACAGTGCCACACCCAGGGGGCAAAATTACAGAAACTTCTTAGACATTACCAGACTCCTTGAGGGAATGATTTGCTGGGTCTGGGAGCTCAGGACTATAGTCTCAAGGGACATCATGGTCAACTGGCATAACAGAGTCCACAGAGACAACGTTCTACATCCTATTTCAGTGAGTACTGACTGGGATCTTAAAAGCTCAAGTGGCATTCTAAGGTGGTCTCTCCCTGCCTGGAGGAAAGAAGAATAATGAAAATCAAAGATAATTGGAAACAGTCCAGTGGACTAATGGGCCACATGGACATCAGTTTCCATAACCCTGAGACGGAAACTAGATGGTTCTACCTGGCTACTACCACCCACTGCTCTGAAAGGGATCACATTAGAAGATCCTGGAGAAAGTAGAAGAAAACTCAAAATTATAAAAAAGACCAGGCTTACTAGTCATATAGAAGTTGGTGGAACCCCGAGACTATGACCCTTGGTCACCCTTCAGGTCTGGATCTGAACTCACCCAATGGTTCAATTTTCAGCCAAGCCATAGATAGGTCTATAGGGGGACAACAACACCTATGAGGTACGTACACCAGAGAATGGTCCCCCATTCAAGATAAAAAAAAAAAAAAAAAAGGCAGCGTTTACCTACGGACAAAATTCAAAAGAGTGGGGCAAGAAGGAATAGAAACAAGACCACAGGGAGGAAGTGGGATTGAGATGAAACCACGTGTCATATGATCTGTTGAATGTGAAATTGATGATCTGATTTGTAAACTACTCACTTGACAATCAGAAGTTTCAAAATAAAATGTTAAAAGCAAAATAGCCCCCTACACCTTTGCTGCTGAATCCTTTTGAGTCATGGCAGCCCTGTTGGCTGGAGTAGAACGGCTCCACAAAGTTTTCTTGATTGAGATCTTTACAGAAGCACATCACCAGTCCTTTCTTCCATGGTGCCATAAAGTGGGTTCAGACTATCAACCTTTAGTTTAGAAGCAATCATAGAAGCTGGTACTGCCCATTTGTGCTACCACAAATCTTTAAGTTCTTTACGAGAAAACGGGTAGAGTTTCTCATCTTCGGTTAGTAAATGAAGGGGACTTTTGACAGCTCAATCTGAAGTTCCTGAGAACTTCCAGCAAAACAAACTGAAAAAGTCCTGAGGAAGTTAACGTAATAACCAGAGTAAACCCAGTGAGACCCTCAAGAATAATTCTTTCACATATTTTTTCATTAAACGGGACAACCGTCTTCACTGTCTGAGAACTCAGTTTTATCTTCATGTACTTGTTCCTTTTGAGTTCTGGTGTGGCGCAGTAGGGTAAGCACTGGCCCACTAACCACAAGGTTAATGGTTCAAACCCACCAGCTGCTCAATGGAAACCCTTTAAAGGGTCAGAACCGACTCCATGGCATATAACAACAACATTCTTAGAAGCCCTAATATGGCACTGTAGCATAAGCACTGGACGGGCAACTGCAAGGTTAGCTGTTCAAATCCATCAGCCACTTTCAGAAATCCTATATAGGGTGGCTATGAGTCAGAACTCAACAGCACACAATACACCTCTAAGGAGTCCTGGTGGTAATATGGTTAAGCACTCAGCTACTGTTTAACTCCACCAGTGGCTCCATGGGAGAAAAGGTCTAGCAGTCTGTTCCCATAAAGATTAACTCAGTAAATTCTAAGGGGCAGTTGTACTGTTAAACCGGGTATACTATCTAATCACATTTCCTTATTAAAAACGAATTCAAGAAAATCTTACTGTTGTTGCTAAGTGCTGGGGAGTCGCCTTTGACACATAAGGACCTTGTATAGGGTTTCCAAGGAGTTTCTGGTAGATTTGAACCACCGACCTTTAGGTTCAAACCAACCCTGCCGTCTAGTACATTATCCAATAAAATCTTAAAGCCCCAGTTTCCACCCACTGGCTCAACCGTGACCATGCGGAGTTGGAAGAGTTTCAGGGGCCAAAGACTGTAGAAGAACTGATGCATTTGAGTTATGGTGTTGGAGGAGAATATTGAAAGTACCATGGGCTGCCAAAAGAACAAACAAATCTGTGTTGGAAGAAGTGCAGCCAGAGGGCTCCTTGGAGACCAGATGGCCAAACTTCCTCATACTTCAGACATATTGTCAGGAGGGACCAGTCGCTGGGGAAGGATATCATGTTTGGTAAGATCAGAGAAAAAGAGGAAGAAGACCCCCCAGTGAGATGGATAAACAAAGTGGCAGCATCAATGGACTCAAGTGTGGCAAACAATTGTGAGGTTGGCCCAAGACAAGACCCAGCAGTGTTTCCGGTAGTATTTCGTTCTGTTGGGCACAGGGTCGCTGTGAGTTGGTACCGACTCAATGGCACCTAACAACAACAACAACAACAACAACAACAACAACATTACCTGGTATGAGATCAGCACAAAGTAGGTAACTAGGGATGTTTATTTAATTGTTGTTGTTGTTAAGTGCCATCGAGTCGAGTCAGTTATGACCCATAGTGACCCTGTATAGGGTTTCTAAGGTGAGTTTGAACTGCTGACCTTATGGTTCAAACCAATTTTGCAGTCCAGCGCATTAACTCACAGTGCCACACCAGAACTCCGTTTATTGAATTAATGAATACATTTTCTGCCTGACAAATTCCTATTATCCTTTGAAACCTTAGCTCCAATGCCCCTCTTCCCTATGCAGAGTCCTCACTGTCCCTATGAATGACTCCAGCCCTGAGTCCCTCTTTGTGGTCCGTCTCTGACCCCAAAGGTCTACAGATATTTTACTCTGCATCCCTTGGACTGGGAACTTTGCAGGGATGGGGCCCAGGGCTAAGGTTTCTCAGGACCCCCAACACTACATAGAACTAAGGGGTAATTTGCTGACTTGTCAAGTGACTCACAACTTCCAAAAGAGTTTCTTTAAGTAGTTTTAATTTAGCACCAGTCGTGGAGGTATAAGACTCTTGATCTAGGAGTGGGATTTTGAGACAGTGCTTTATGATGTAGAGAAATTATCCAGGTGCCAAGCAAGAGGTGGAGAATCAAAAAAACAGAAGAAGCCAAGTTCTTATGACCATCACTGGAAACAGACTTTCCTCTGGGACCTGGCCCCAATTTGGCAGACATCCGGCTTCTCACCCTGGAGGGAATGGCTGTGAGTTAGGGTCCTGGAAGGAGACTCATCCTCTACCCACCGCATCCCACTTCTCCCCGCCCAGTTTACCTGGTACAACTTGCAAACAAGGCTCAGGAGTTCATCATGTTCATCCATGGGTTTCTGTACAAAGTGAGACAGGTCAGGGTTAGGAGCCCAGACACCCTGGTCCCAGCCACAAAGGGGCTACAAATGACCCCCATCCTGGCTCCTGCCTCCCAGCCCAAGAGGTGCCTCCACCACTGCAGTCCCCACATAGGGTCTGAGCTGAGGGCTACAAGAGTCTTACCCCGTTGACGACGACCCAGGGCACATACTGGTGCGGTGGCTGCAGAGCATCTGTTAGTTGGGCATTGGCATGCATGAGCTGCGTGCCGCGATCACCCATTGCACACTCCATGATGGTATCCGAGGACACTTCCGGGGCGTAGATCTGGAGGCACTGTGGGTGCAGGAGAGCGGGTAAAGTGGGGCATTGCTTCAGTTTCCTCTCTGTTATCTCCCCAACAGTCCTCTACTGGTCCCCAAGAGAAGCCAAGGGAAGACGAGCAGCATGCACCAATGCCCACACACAGCATGCACCAGTGCTTGAGACAGTGAGTGCTTAATATACACCTGAATGCAGGCCACTCAAGGCACAGGTGGCAGGCTGCTTCTGCTTCCTCATCCCCTTTGCCGGCTCCCCTAAGACCAGCAGCCTGATTTTCCTCAGCTGCCGTACATACTGTTCCTTCTGCCAGGAACATCCTTCCTCCTCCTTCTCCAGTGTCTCATCAAGAGCCGCCTCCTCCTTTATATTTCCCAGCTCCAATCTGACCCCACAGGGTTAGAGGTATCTTAGTGAGAGGCCTCTTGAGCAACCCAGGGTTTTTCTTTTTTTTTCCAGTTGTGGTGAAATATACATAACAAAACAGTTTGGGTGTTTAATGAATGAATGTCTGGGACAGATGAGTCACTCCTTTGCGAGTTATTGTTCACAATCCCTTTGGTGGTTGTGGGGTCTGTCCTATGACAAGGGAGGCCCTCATCTGTTCTTGAAAACTCATTCATTCTTCTCAGCCCAGTTCAGAGGCTATGGTCCATCAGGAAGTCCTCCGTAATACACCCATGCTCCCAGAAGACTTTCATCTTCTGATTTGCTTTGAGAGATGGAGACTTAGAGAGGGAGGCCATTTTCCTGGGGTTATACAGCAGGTAAGGAGCTCTGGTAGCATAGTGGTTACAAGTTGGGCTGCTAACCTCAAGGTCAGCAGTTCGAAACTACCAGCTGTTCCTTGGGAGAAAGATGAGGCTTTCTGCTCTTGTAAAGATATACAGCCTCAGAAACCCTGAACAGGGTCGCTATGAGTTGGAACTGACTCCATGGCACATAAGCAAACCACCAACCATACAGCAGATAGCATTTGGAGCACAATTTGAACCCCAGTTCTGCTGTGGTCCCTGATGCCTTCCCCTCTCCTAGTGTGGACAGAGGGCCACACTCACTGGTTTCAGGTTTTCCTCCATGTTGTCCATTTCCTCCAAGCAGACGATGGTTACAAAGGCTTTACTATCCTCCAGCTTGTCCAGCAGGCAGGCCTAGGAGTGAGGGCAGGTCAGGACATGAGGGTGGCCTGGAGCAGCTCAGGGCTCTCTGAGAACCATCATCAGTGTGCACTCTGACTTGGTCAATGGTGTTGAGATGGAATGGGCAAAGCTTGAGTCTAGTGCCCGCCCCAGGGCCACTTACCTCCACCTTGTTGAGCAAACACTCACGCTCTCCATGCTGGCACGTGAACTCCCATTTGCCACTGACATTTTGTTCCTGCAAAGCAGGGTCGTGAGAGGTGGCTGGGCAGATGGGTGCACTCCCTTCCCCCTACTTGGTGTCCCTGATGCCCACACACCTTAGCATTCCCATAGGGCACCAGTGTGATGTTGAGGATCTCCATTACCATCAGCCACGTGGGGAAGAGCTCTCGAACCAGGAAGCCCCGGCAGCCACCGCACAGCGACTCATAGTAGAGGCTGATATTGATGGGCGGCGAGTTCCAGTTTGTGATGGGTCCCCGTGGGCACAGTGTGCCAGCCTACAGGGATTGACACAGGGGATATGAACTGGCCCAGCTCTGTGTGGCTCCTGACTTCTCTGAGCCAGCTGGGTGCACTCACAAAAGGGGAACTGCAAACAGTGGAGTCTCCATCCTGTACTCCATCTGGACCTAGCTCAGGGGACCTCCAGCTTTGAGCTTTTGCTGAGTCCCTTGCCCTCCCCAAACTCTAAACCCATTGCCACAGAGTTAATTCCGACTCCTGGTGATCCCTTGGGTTACAAAGTAGAACTTCTCTATAAGAGTTTCTTGCGTGTAATCTTGATGGAATTAAATGGCCATGTCTTTCATGCTGGGTGGTTCAAATTGCCAAACCTTCAGATTAATAATCTAATGCAAACGGTTTGTGCCACAAAGTGAAGGAACCAGCTGTGTCTCCCAGGCTTCCCTAAATCCCAGTTCTGCAAAACGAAAGGGACACAGATTTGCAAACAGTAGGCAGTTCGTATACTCACAGCCCTTGCTTTCCACCAGGTACCCTGTTGTAGGACTGAAGAGACACCTCTCACTCCGAGGGGTTGCATGCAGTAACTGCTCATACACATTTCTGGTCACCACCCTCAATCTACTTTTTTGGAAGTACATACCACAGGAGCCTAATGAATGCACAACTCTGCCACTTCACCCTCAGAGTCTTGGTGAGCTGGCTTCTTGTTTACTCCTGCTCCCAACAGGCCCACGTGAACCCCTCCCGGGTCAACTGCACAGAGGTGGCACTTAAGAGGTGCTGACTTCCACTTAAAAGGCTGGTGTATATGAGCTTGTGCAAGTCCCTAGGGGACTCCTCACCAGAAATGCACCAAGCCCTTCCAAGCAGGAATGCACATAGGAAGCTACTCTGGCATTTGGGTGGTCTTGGGAAAGCTGTTTATCTCTTCAGGACTTCCCCTGGATCACAAGGGGACAGTATTTTTTGGCTCCTGCCTGAGAGGTACATAGTAGGCGCTCAAAGTAGTCTCAGGGGGAAGTGAGGGCACATGACGGGGAAGTGAAACGACTCCGATGGGGGGTGGGCTCAGAGCAGGGTAATGTGTTGCATTTGTGTGTGTGTATGTTCTGTGGACACCAGTCGCAGAACTGAGGTGACTGGGGACACATCCTGGGGTCCTGTCTCCTCGGCATAGTGTGGGACAGAGAGGCGCGGGACAGAGAGGTGCCGGTCCCGGTCCCCGCCCGCCCGCCCACCGCTTCGCAGTCCCTGTCCCTACCTTACAGTAGGCTGCCACCTCGGGGAGTGCTCTCTGCGGGGACGCACGCGCCCCTGCAGGGACCTCGACCAACAGCAGCAGCGACAGGAACGGCAGGAGTGGCGCGCAGGTCATTGCGGCGGGGCGGCGGAGTAGAGGTGCAGACGTCCTGGGAGGGAGCAATCTTTTAACCCGGCGGAGGCCCAGCCCCATGGCCTGCCCGCCTCCCGGGCCGCCCCCTCCCCCGCGCCCCAGCCAGTCCGCCCGCCCCCTGGTGGCGCCCCCGCCCTTCTCGGTAGCTACGGCGACCGGCGTAGGGCCTCCGGCCTTGCCTAGTCTGGCTTTAGGGGCTGTCTCCCTTCGCCTAACCCGGACCACCTCTCCGGACTCCCCTCCTCTTTCTCTGGCCCGGATCCACCTCCTGGGAACCATTTCTGGCGTTCACTTTCCAGTGTGGCGGAAGGGAGGGGGGGGGCGAGGGCCGCCCCACCCGACAGGTGCCTAGAAGCCAAGTCATGCTCCGACAGGTGGTTTTTGAACCTGACTTCCGCGAATCACCTCCAGACAGCTACCAGACTCTAGGAGTTTGGGCACTTTGAACGAAGGTGGAGTGGACAAGTGGATACAGAGATCGAGAGAACTTGGGGAGTGGTCTCCTCAGCCAACGGCCTGAGTGGGAGCATCGCCCCTAGTCTGGGATGCCCCTTACAGTCCCTCTTCTTCCCGTGGCCCAGAACTCTCTCGCCCCTCCGTCTACCCGGGCCCGGACCCTCCTCCTCCCAAGTTCTGCATCCCCAATCTCTGACGCTCCACTCGATTCTAAGATTTTGCGATTCTGCGGTGCTGATTCAGACTTGGCCACAGCTGAACCAGAAAAACAGAAGCCAGAAAGGAAAGGTGCCTCGCTTCCCTGGGGATCCCCTACTCCAGGCCTGGGGAAAGAAACAATGTTGGGGTCCTCCATCCCACCTCAAGCCTTGAGGGGCGTGAGACATTGCTTTCAGGGTGACTTTTCTAAGGGGTGATGGTTATGTGCCGTAGAGTCAGAACCGACTCATAGTGACCCTGTACAGGGTTTCCGAGGCTGTAAATCTTTATGGGAGCAGAACGCCTCATCGTTCTCCCATGGAACAGCTGGTAGTTTCGAACTGCTGACCTTAAGGTTCGCAGCCCGATTCCTAACCACTACGCTACCAGGGCTCCTTTTTCTAAGGGGTAAGGTCAGTGAAAAAAGAAGACTCCCAATCAGTGGGTGCAACAATGGGTTCAAACAATTGTGAGGATGGCGCCCAGCCGGACCCAGTAGTGTTTCCTTCTGTTATGCACAGGGTCATTGTGACTTGCAACCCACTTGGCTGCCTACACACAAGGGAGAGGAAGTCGTGGGGCAGGATACAGATCCCACAAAGTTTGAATCCTGACTCTCCTAGGGAGAAGCCTCAAGCAAGAGACTGAGCCTGTTTCCCCTTCTGTAAACTGGAGAAAAAAGTGAGGTTTTGGAGATAAAGTTGCCCTGAAGTGGGGGGTTCATGCAGAGGGAGAGTTGCCGAGGGGTGGACTTTGGGAGGCTGGAAAGAGCTTGTACAGTCGCACACTGCAGGAGAACAACCAGTAAAAGGCCTGCAGCAGGTGTGTTTGGGGAATAACTTCAGAGTTTGCAGGTCTCAAAGGCCAGGCACCAGGCTGAACAGTGGAAGAGAAAGCCCCCAGTTGCTCAGCAGTCTTTGGGCCTTCCCTCTCAGTTCTGGGGAAGCCTGAGCCTGCATTTCTACACCTGATAGCATCAGGTTCAGAAACCAGTTTCTGTGAAGTCCTCATGGCTGGATAATCCTCCTTCTTGTGCCCTTTGTTGTTAAGTGCCGTTGAGTCGATTCCGACCCATAGCCAACTGGTGAGCTTGAACCACCGACCTTGCAGTTCAAACGACTTTGCAGTGTGACGCATTAGCCTTGTGCCCTAGACCTCTGTAAAACCCACTTTCTCCTGGAAGCCTCTTCAAGACTTGGAACCAGAATTTGGTTTGGGATTAGAGCACTCGCGTTGTGCTGAACCCCACTGAAGAAATAACAATAAATGTAAATGCTACAATTTCTAAAGTGCAAATGTAACTGTAACTGCAGGATTTTGTGCCCACCTACTCTGGACACAATCTACACTTTATTAAACCCTTAGAAAGTCCTGCTTGAGAGCACTGACTACTCACTCAATTGGCAATGAGGAAATAATTGGACCAGAGAGGGGAGGCAGCTTTCCTGAGGGCACACAGCTGGTGGTTAAATGGGCTAGCACCCTAGCTCAGCCTGCCTAGGATAAATGAGCTTTATCCTGTCTTCCACCCAGGAGCAGAAACCACAGCACCTGGTCCAGAGTTATTTATAGGTAACTCTTGACTAGACATAGGAAGGCTTGCGGTCAAAGAGGAGAGGAAGCAGGTAGAGATCAGAGGAGGCTAGTCCTCCATCCATTCCTTTGCCTCTGGGCCCTCTGCGAAGGGGAGAAAGGGATAAAGACTCAGCCTGGGCCAAGGGTCAAGGATCCTGGAATGGGAGAGCTGAGAGACAGCATGCCATCTAGCTCTACATCCCTTGAGCTGTTACAGGGCAGGTGTGGAGAGGGGTCAGAGGGCCAGGCAGGGTCTCCAGTGCTGGGTAGAGGGGCTGGAACTCTTCTGAGGACAAGGGAACCCTTCAGGGTACAGGGACCCCTCAGAGCTGGTATGTTGGGGAGGACCATGAGAAGCCAGGAAGGGTCTGCGGTGCCTTGGCAGCCCTGGGTCATCTCTCTTCTCTTCGAACTGAGGCAAATCCCCGTACTTTCTCTGGACTCTCAGTTAAATAGTGTGTGTCTCAGCCCTCAGAGGTGGGTTTGTTAAACCCTCAAACACAGCCGATGGGACCACAGATGGCCCCTTCCCTCCCCAGCAACCGTAAAGAAAGTCCATCATGAGCATGATCCAACAAGAGCTCGAGAGCTTTATTCGTGGCAATGCCAATGTACCGTACAAAATGCACCTTTCTGGGCTGGCAGCGTAAAAATCAGGATGCTTGTCCCAAAAGCAGGAAGAAGAAAGGGCTTGACCGCCAAGGAAAAGTCTAATCAAATCACATGATAAAGCAGCAGGCCCACGCTGGCTCAAACGGAGCTTCTGTGGACTGCCGCGGCGGGGGGGATCTCCGTGTCTGGGGCCAAGCCGGATGGGGCCAGTACCCAAGTTTATTTTTAATGATTTTTCAGGATGGGGGGGGGAAGAGTTCTCAACAAGGGTCCCCTCATTGGGGAGAACCCAGCGGCAGGTTTCACTTCAGGGTTTGAAGGGGAAGTTGGGGTCTGTGGGGCGGGTCCTGCCCGGCCCCTAATGTCACAGCAGAGGCTCTTGGAAGTGGCCAAGCAACATTCCTTCCTGCCTGGGCCCCGGGTCTATGGCTTAAAAATCAGGGTACCCAGGCTGGGGCCGCACAGCCCAGGGGCCTCTGTAAACAGGGCAGACACGACCAGGCGCCAGGCGGGGTTTCGGGGACCCTAGGGGCCTGCAATGGGCAGGGAAGGGGGTCGGGTGGCCAGAGCCATAGGAATGCAGTGCCATGGGGATAATGGGGCAGGTGGACCTTTAACACAGACGACGGGGAGGTGGGGACACGACGGGGAGGGGGGGACACGACATAGAGAAAAAGAGGTAAGGGAAACAGAGGAGGGGACACAGGGAGAGACTGAAACAAGAGAGAGGCAGAGATCAGGAGACAGAGATTGGTGAGAAGAGTCACGGAAAGGGAAAAAAGACTTAGTAAGAAAAAGAGGAAGCTGGAGGGAGAAGGGGAGACAGGCGTAGAAGGTAACAGAGGTTGACAGAGACAGAGCAGAAAAATTGGGAAAATACAGAGAGAAAGAGAGACTCAGAGAGACACAGAAGTTGACAAGAGACTCAGAGCTGGCGAGAGCGGCCACCAGACTGAGAACTCAGGAGAGAAGATGCAGAGAGGAAGGAAGCCCACAGCTGTGTCCCAGCCTCAGTGAATGCTGGCTGTAGGGTGGTCAGCGGGTGGCAGATGGGGGCCCGGGTCCGGGGGCCCGCACGGGGTGGGCCAGCGTGACAGCCAGTGCGTCATTGTGCTGCACCAGCGAGGCATGCTGGTAATGCAGCACCAGCTCCTTGAGGGACCCATACAAGTTGTAGGGCTCTGCAAAGCCGAAGCCGGTGGCTGTGCGGTAGATGACACAGTGTTTGGTGTCGCCGTCCACCCTGTGGGCAGGAGACGGCCAGCATGTCAAGTGAGGTCCTAGGCTTACTGGGCCCCATCCCACCACTCACTCCCCCCAGTCTTGTCTCCACCCTGGGGACCCCATCTCCTGCCTAGACAATGTCCTAGCTGCCTCCCTTCCTCCTCTTCCTGTCCCAACAATCTCTTCGTCTCCACTGTCTTACCAAGGCCCAGCATACAGCTGGCGCTCAATGAGAACTCATGGAAGGTTTGAACAAACCCCAGGCCCTCTAGTCCCCTCTCGGGTCCTCAGCACTCACACCACAGAGCAGGCATAGCAGCCCCGCTGGCTGCTCTCACGGATGAGGAAGGTGCCATCCCGTTTGCCACTCAGCATCTCCTCGGCTTGTGTTCGGTTGATCTTGCCCACATACCATGTCCGTTCCTCATGGTGAGGAAGCTCATCCTCATCATCCATAAGGGAATACTGGCTGTGAGGTGGGGATGGGGTTAGGAGGACACAGTCACTCACTTGCCAGCAGCTGAGCTCTCCGTGTTGCTGAGATAACTTTTCCTCTCTAGTGAAGGAACTCCTACTCTTTCTTCAAAACCCATCAAAAATGATTCCCCCTCAAGGAAGCCATGGAGAAACCCATCAAAAATGATTCCCCCTCAAGGAAGCCATGGTGAAACCCACCAAAAATGATTCCCGCTCAAGGAAGCCATGGAGAAACCCATCAAAAATGATTCCCACTCAAGGAAGCTGTGGAGAAACCCATCAAAAAATGATTCCCGCTCAAGGAAGCCGTGGAGAAACTCATCAAAAATGATTCCCGCTCAAGGAAGCC